TTTTTTTTTTTTTTTTTTTTTTTTTTTTTTTTTTTTTTTTTTGCATTAACAGTTAAAATAAAGTAATAAACAAGTTTGCAATCCTTGTTTTTTCCATATAGTTATTGATGTGCTTCTTGTGGTGCTACGGTTATACCACTGAAGTTTATTTTCAAAAAGCCATTATAAAGACTCAAATATTCAAGTAATATGTCCATTTTTTCTAAATAGTTTGAACGGAGCTTCTCTTATGCATTTATTTTGTTACTTTGCTAGGTTGGAAATGTTAAGAAAGTAGTAGGAGCTGGAAAGGAGCAAACTGGAACTGCTAGTGCAAGTGGGATGCGTCGAGAATTGATGAGACTACCCAATGCACTTGAAACAGAAAAATCAAACTTATATACAGCCCACCAAGAAAATGATGACTTCGTCTCATCCGAATCAGATAGACAGCTGCTTCTAATAAGGTAATGTATATATTTCTTACCCGGGTTGTTAACAGAATCCTCCTGCTTAAGTGGAAACCTATCTCTAAATTAAGTATGATGATGAAGTACAAGAATAACATAATAAAATTTATGTAGAGTAGAGTACTTGTTAACTCACCTGGATTTTGATCCCCTGTAAGATGTGTATATATAGGCAGCAGGACGAGGAGTTGGATGAATTGAGTGCGAGTGTGGTGAGAATTGGAGGTGTTGGGCTCACAATACATGAAGAGCTCCTTGCACAGGTGTACATTCTGTAGGTTACAGTGCTGCTAATTGATTCTCTCTATACATCTGCAGTCTGATGAACTTTCTAAGACTCGAAAAAATCTTTTTATGCAGGATAAAATTATTGACAACCTAGGAATGGAAATGGACAGTACATCGAATCGTCTTGATTTTGTTCAGGTGTGTTCATGATCTCAATGCTGGTCATAAGCACGAATATTAGCTTTCACAATAATGAGATTCTGAAATCTTTAGCAGTAATCAAATCAAATGGGTTTTTTTCTAGAAAAAAAAAATTCTATTTTGGTTGTTCAGCTCTGAAGTTGTTCTATTTTATTCCTTAAACTTTCAAATTTGTTTAATTTTGGTCACTTAACTAAAAGGTTTATTTTAGTCTTTAGACTTCCAAAAAAAAAAAAAAAAAAACCATTTTGGTCCTTGCCTTTATTTTATTTTTAACAAACTAATGACAAATATGCGTATCAACACGAGATTGATACAACGAGCCTTTGACTAGTGGATATTAGATGGAAATAAAATATAGCAAGGACCAAAATGATTATTATTTCAAATTTCATATATTAAAATAGATATTTTAAATGTTTAGAGACCAAAATAGAACTGACTTTGAAGTTTAGAGATCAAAATGGATATTTCAAAAGTCTATGAACTAAATTAGAACAAACTCGAAAGAAACCTTGTTTTCTTTTGTTCGTGCTTGGTTAATAGAAGTAAATACAAGATTTAAACATTGTTTTTCCCTTTTGTCTTGTATGGAACCTTACAGAAAAAAGTAGCTGTGGTGATGAAGAAGGCCAGCGCCAAGGGGCAGATAATGATGATATTATTCTTGGTAGCTTTGTTCATCATCCTTTTTGTGTTGGTGTTCCTCACCTAGTTTTTGTTCATCATAATTCACACGAGGCATCATCCAGCCTTTATCTTTGTTTTGAAGTTTCTTTGATAGAGTTGGTATACCTTAATTTCTTGTAATTATAAATCTCTACAGGTTTATGATAGATTCAACCATTGCTGTTTCTAAGCGAGAGCAACATGCTTTGTGGATTGATTTTTTTTTTTTTTTTTTTCATAAAGTTTATCAATATTGCTATTGGATCTCATAATCGTGTAGGGTTGATGAGGAAGTAAAACTTTGTGCATTTTCAATAATGTAAATGTAAAACGCTAGAAACTAAGCTTATAATTTAGTTATGTAAACTTGAGTCTCGATTAGAAACTAAGCAAGCTTGCTCAATTAGAAACTAAGCTCGTAATTTAGCAATATGTTAAAAAGAAAATGGATGAAAGGAGATGTAAAAATAATAAATAGATAAATATATTATTTTAATCATAAAAATTTATAAAAATATATGGCATGTTTAATAGAAAAATTGATGGAGGGACCTTTGATGCCATGAAGTTTAAACATTATTTTTTATTTTTTTATTGAATTGAAACTATTACTATTTTTCGCGGAAAAAAAAAGTAATTTTGTGCTATTTTAAAATTTATAACCAATTTGAATATTTGAAAATAGTATATTAAAATAGAATAATTATTTTAGCCTATATTTTAGATTTCATCCTATTTTAGTTACTATACTATCAATTTTTTAAATTGTCTCGTTTTTTTTTTTTTTTTATAAATTTTAAGTTTAGTTATTTGGATTAAATAATTAAAAAAAATGATATTGTAAAGTCTTAAATTTTTAACCCGTTGCCTTTCTTTTTCTCTTTTATTAATTGGCTAAAAGATGGACTATCCGAGTTCTTAGGTACGGCGCCAAAATCTGCCCCCACGCCTAAGACCGACGATTGATGAAAGAGACGAACAGTTCTTGCAGCTAAACCTCCATGGGAGAATCGTGAAAGATAATCTAACAGGTTGCTTAGGCTCCGATATCGATCTGTAAGCATTCTATTCAACCTATTTCTTGATTTTCTGGTTAATATCTATTCAGATTACTTCAATTTCCCCTCTCTGCGAGCTGTTGTTCAATTGATAGAATTCTAATTAGGTTTGCAGGAAATTGGTCTGCACCTTGTATTTCTGCGACTGAATCGTTGTATTTCAGTGTAATTTAGAGCGTGCGTAAAGGACTGTGGCTGAAAGATTTACAGAAATTGAAAATTTGACGATTGGGAAGATTCTATCTGAGTTGTGCGAAGAGATATTAAGTTCTGCAGTTGAATTTGAACCATTTGCTTATTTTTACTAACTCTAAGCTATTTGGTTCACGCCCACAAGGTAATGGGCAGAGCGGATTTAGATTAAAGAGAGAAAGTTTGCATATTATTTCTAAAGACAAATTTCATATGATAAAGTTGTGAAGGGATAAAGGAACTGTCAGCTCCAAACAGCAACTGAGGACATATGAAACTCATAAATCTGTCTTCTCATCGTTTTATCGTTTCTTTGAAATGACCAAGGCATGAAGGAATAGATATGTGATGATTTCGTTTATTTTAAGATTCTATATAAAGAAGTTATGTGTTCATCAATAAAAGTACTTGAATATTGCTTGCAGTTCAAGATAATGTAATGGCATTTCCAATGAGGTTGTTATCCACTTATCCAAGAACCAGTAAGCTTCAATCTCCAAAATATGCGAAAACAAGAGTTTCGGTTCCCGGCCTCGCAGCATGCTTTTACAACACTTATGTGCTCCATGGTCAACTTCACCATCAGTCTCTTTCCTTCTATGTGACCAAACCGTCAGTGCTAAAGAACTTCAAGTAAGTTACTTAAGGTAGCTGTAATTGCTAGGGACTATGTTAGGTTAGGTTAGTTATGCTATTCTTTTATGGCGTTACGAGCATCAAAATGTTGAATTTGTTGAAGAAATGCAAGTTATAAAGTCAGTCAAGCAGCTTGTTTCTGCATCTCTTGATTATTGTACTATACAAATTGTACACAATAGTTTCCTTACTTGGTAGAACACTTGAGCTTCATAAGTTCATTGCAAAGCCTATAGTAAAATTTATCTTGGGCCCTTGGCAACACAAGGGAAATAATGATTGTAAACTTAAGGATGCACCTCAAAGGGAAATGGTGATATGCCATATGTGAAAGACAACAGGATGGCATAATGTTGAGCAAATATTCTCATAGCCTTCACAGGCGTAAACTTTTAAGCTATCTTTAACGTTACTTGAGAAGAATCGTCGTGGTATGATTAGTCTATGTTTGTAATTTGTTATTATTCTTTGTGGTACAGGAAGATGGCCTTGTCCATTAGGAGCAGTGTGGAAGAGAGTCCATTTGATCCTCCTTCAAATAGCTCGAATGGTAGAACGAGACTGACACGGATTATTTCAGCTATTCAAACCAAGTTGAATGCGAGAATTAACGAGTTAAGGAAAAATCTTCCATTGAAGATACTCTTCTTCTTGGTTGGGTTTTACAGTGCAACTGCATTTGCAACTGTTATTGGTCAAACAGGTGACTGGGATGTTCTATCTGCTGCATTGGCTGTGGCTGTTGTGGAGGGGATTGGGGCCCTCATGTATAGGGCTTCTCTTCCCCTTTTGAACAAGATTAAAGGCCTAATAACCATGTTCAATTATTGGAAAGCTGGACTTTCCATGGGTCTTTTCTTGGATTCTTTTAAATATGAAATGGATGATATTTTTGGGTTACATAACCTCTTCCATTTATACTTAGAAAATGTAATTCATATCATTTATTAACAATTCAAATTCATTGCTGTATATCTTCAAATTGCATTAACTTGGGTTTATGCTTTTCCAAGTTCTGAGTACAGAGGATGGAACCTCCGATTCATGGATCTGAAGCCTTGGGACAAACATGGTTGCTGTTTGAAGGATTTCCTAAGAACTGTGATGCTGGTTGATTCCCATGGTCTAACCAACTAGCTCAACCTTCTAGACGAACATGGTTGTTGTTTGAAGACTTTCCTAAGAACTGTGAGTAACTTGACAACGCTTTTTGATTCCCATCATCTAACCAACTAGCTCAACTTTCTAGACGAACATGGTTGTTGTTTGAAGACTTTCCTAAGAACTATGAGTAACTTGACGATGCTTTTTGATTTTAGTTGGTAACCAACTAGCTCAACCTTCTAGACGAACATGGTTACTGTTTGAAGACTTTCCTAAGAACTGTGAGTAACTTGACGACAATTTTTTATTCCTATTGTCTAACCAACTAGCTAATATGTTCTCAACAAAGACATTAGATGCTTGAATTGAATTTTATATCTTCAAAAGAAAGAAAAGGAAACCCCGTTATAAATGTCTAAAGTTACTTTATAAATCTCTCTTTTTAAGTTCTCTTTATGGAAAAAGAAAATCTATCTGATTTCATCTCATCTCTAGACTTCTGCTTACGGCCACGCACATATTCTCTTTTGAGATGGAACACCATGAGCAAGCTCTAAATGAGAATCTTCAAGCCAGGTGTTATCAGAAGCTTGTGAAAGGGGCAAGCGAGGCAACACCTGTGCGGCCATATTCCCTTACTGGTGAATAAAACTAGAAAGAAGCTAGGAGAAATACTTCCTATCATAACGCAAGTTGGATTCCTTCTATAGTCGCCACGCGTTTGCGACATCCGCGTCTTGAAGGTTCGGTAGCACACGGGTAGCTGTCATAAGCACCTGACACAACGAATTTTGCAGAATTTCATCGGTTCAGTTGGGGATGAATGACAATGGAGAGCTATTCTCATTTTGATCCCTAAACTTTAACATTCGTTCCATTTTGATCTATACTATTTTCAAAATATAACATGTCAAAAAGTTTTAACGTCTTTTGACCTATCAGCTTGAATAATGTTGATTATAAAGTTAATCTTAACGTTGATTATGAAGTTGGAGACCAGTAAGAAATGTAATCCCAATTTAAATTTTGGTAAGAAAAATAATATAAATATATTCTTTTAATTTATAAAGAAAAGTGTAATAAATACTCTTTAGAAAGAAAAAAGTAATAAAAATAGAAATATAAGGAAATAATATTCTTACTTTATTTGCCGCTTTTTAACTGTCACGGGGCGGCAATTGGAAAGCGCGCTCTTCCACTGTGCTGATTGGCCCATTCATTCATTCGCTCCATCGACTCGCTCGCCCTTCATCGGTAAGTTTCCGATGCTCTTTTTCTCCTTCTCCATTTCCATTTTCGTTTCATGATTCTGCTTCAATTCTGTTTTTATCTTTTTCCCTGAGCTCTTGCGTTTGGATTTGTGAAAGATCTTTTGGGTTTCACGAGTTGCGAGTTGCACTGTTTTTTTGCTCTTGGTTTTTTCTTTCTTGAGTCTGTATTTGCTGCTCTTTGCTGTTATTGGAGGTTGATTTGCTTGGGGGCCGGAAAGCTCCTACTGACCGGAAAATTCTGGACAATTACTTAAATAAGTTCGTACCACCGAAAAAGCCAGAGGAAACACTCCTTTCCTTCTCCAATCGGTGTGGGACCCCAATCTACTCCCTTCGGAGCCCAACGTCCTTGCACCAACGTGGGATCTCATAGTCCATCCCCTTTGGGCCTAGCGTCTGGCTAACACTCCTTCGCTTCTTCAATCAATTAGGAATCCTCCAACCTACCCCTTCGAGGCCCAACATCCTTGCTGTCTCGCTGGCACTCCTTCCCTTCTCCAATCAATGTGGAATCCTCCAATCCACTCCTATCGGAGCTCAATGTCCTTGCTGGCACGCCGTCTCGTGTCCACCCCCTTCAGGGCTCAGTCTCCTCACTAGCACATCGCCCGGTGTCTGGCTTTAACACCATTTGTAACGGTCCAAGCCCACCGCTAGCAAATATTGTCTTCTTTAGACTTCCCCTCAAAGTTTTTAAAACATATACACTAAGAAGATGTTTCTATACCCTTATTAAAAAAAATGTTTTGTTCTCCTTTCAACTTACGTGAGATGTACTAGGATGACCATTCCTAGAAGAAAATTATTAAAATATGAATTTCTGGAGAATTGATGTTCTTTACCTGATTTTCTTTAGCTGCTTATCACCATTACTCTTTTCCCCTTGAAGCTGAGGCTGCTCAGTGGTCACCATCTCATTTCAGCCTCCCTCTTCCCCTTACAATCTGAAATTCTCATTTTTAGCTATGGAATTGGAAACACGTTGGTTTGAACCGATGTGGGACCAAAATAAGATTATATTGCCCTATTTTAATTCATATATACCATTCTCATTTTACAGAAATGTCAGTGTTAGGACGGAGAGGAATTCATTACTTTCACAAACTAAATTCTGCAAACGTTCCCACCTCATTGATTCAGAAGGGTCAAAATCGTGTTATTGAAGCATCTCTAACACTCATTCGCGAGAGGGCAAAGCTCAAGGTTTAGAACTTGAATTTATTAAGCCACCCAACATTGCTTCAGTAAATTTGGTAACTTTATTAAGGTTTTGGAGTTCTTTCCCTAGGGTGAGCTGGTGCGTGCTTTAGGAGGCGCTGTAGCATCAGCTTCTCTTCTTGGAGTTCCTTTGGGACATAACTCATCATTTCTTCAAGGCCCAGCGTTTGCACCTCCTCGGATCAGGGAAGCCATCTGGTGCGGGAGCACAAATCCAACTACAGAAGAAGGTATTCTATTCTGTTGTCTGTGAACTTTTTCTGAAATTAGAGCCAAACATTAGACGGTGGGCTTGAGCTTGTACAAATGGTATCAGAGCTAGACACTAGGCAAGCATCAGAGCCAGACACTAGACAGTGTGCCAGCGAGGACGTTGGGCCCCCAAGGAGTGGGTTGTGAGATCCCACGTTAGTTGGAGAAAGCATTCCTTACATGGGTGTCAAAAACTCTCCCTCTCTAGCAGACGTGTTTTAAAAACCTTGAGGGGAATCTCGAAAGGAGAAGTCCAACAAGGAAGCTAGCGGTGGGCTTGGACTTTTACGTTCTTAATAGTAGCTTAATCCTCTGTTGTTGCTTTGTAATTGACAATATTTTCTATTCTTCAAGATGGTAAATCATAATTTGTTTTGCAGTCTTGTATTTAAGATTTTGAAATTAGGCATGAATGATGACATGTGGGCTTTTACGTTCTGATTTCAGAAGCCCATTGTGAAACCTATGGGATTTTGAATGTGTATTGTGTTGTCTGGACATTCATTTACCTGCAAGTTGGGGTACATGACAAGACAACAAAGTTCTATGTTAGCGCAAATTATACATGGCAATTGAAATACAATGCTTTTGTGATGCAGGGAAAGAAGTTACCGACCCCAGAGTGCTAACTGACGTTGGTGATGTCCCTGTCCAAGAAATCAGGGACTGTGGTGTAGATGATGAAAGATTGATGAAAGTTGTGAGCGAGTCTGTAAAGCTGGTCATGGAAGAGGTGAGTGACCCCGAACTTATTTTTCTTTTAATCCATCATTTTTCTTTTCAGACTTGGATTTAAAATATTTTAACTGTTCTAGTGTCTACCATAGTTTCTAGCTAAATATTATTTACAATCTTTATCCATTAGGATCCACTACGCCCATTGGTTTTAGGAGGCGACCACTCCATATCTTACCCCGTCATCAGAGCTGTTTCTGAGAAGCTTGGGGGTCAAGTTGATATCCTTCATCTAGATGCCCATCCTGATAATTATAATGCTTATGAAGGAAACTATTTTTCACATGCTTCTTCTTTTGCACGAATTATGGAAGGTGGTTATGCCAGGCGACTTTTGCAGGTAACTTTCTTTCCTCTGAATCTCATATATTATTACTGATGTTTTACTGAACTTGAGAAAAGGGTTTTTCATTTCAGGTTGGTATAAGATCAATATCTCAAGAAGGAAGAGAGCAGTGCAAAAGATTTGGAGTGGAGCTATACGAAATGCGAACCTTTTCGAGAGATCGCGAATATTTGGAAAATTTGGTACTGTGTTTCTTCTATGATCCTTGCTATAGGCACTGTCTGCTTTCCTAACTCTTACTGTATCATATGATATGCAGAAATTGGGGGAAGGCGTAAAGGGTGTTTACGTTTCAATAGATTTGGACTCTCTCGATCCAGCATTCGCTCCTGGAGTGTCTCATATTGAGCCAGGAGGTTTGTCTTTCCGTGATGTTCTGAACATCATTCACAATCTCAAAGGGGATATCGTGGGCGCCGATGTCGTTGAGTTCAACCCTCAGCGAGACACCGTCGATGGGATGACAGCCATGGTTGCTGCTAAGTTGGTAAGAGAACTCACAGCTAAGATAGCAAAGTGAAAAAAAGGAAGCCTCGTCTACTTCAATCTATTAGGTTTCTTGCTACTGTTCTTAATCACCCAATAACTACTAGTGAAGTGAGAGTGATGAGCCAAGGTTTTATATGTACTTTAGGCAATATGGTTTATCATTCAAAAGTTGAAGAAACCGTATATACGGAATAAAAATTGAAAATCGTCCTTCTGCGTCATCCCAAAGACGATAATATTATGAGTTTTATTTAGAATGGTTGGAGGTTCAAATCTTCGGATTCTAAAAAGATTCTAAAAGAAAATGAGCAAATGTTTAAACTAAGACTGGAACTTGTATTATTGCCAAACCTCTCTTATCAAAGATGATAATATCCATGCTGTGTCTCAACCGTCTTTGTTCCCTGAAATTTTCCTGTCTAGAAAGGACTCTTACTTGAACTCACTATCAAACTCCTCTTCTAGGTCTTCATCTTGCTTCTCTATTATAGAACCTTTGTACCTTTTGGCACAGACAAGGTACAAGGCCAAGTTGAGAGCAGTCAAAGTGGCTGATAGAAAGAAAAACCGGTCCAAATGACCGTCGTTCAGGTTCGGGGGAACCCAACCGGGCTTACCATTAGTTTTTGTGATAGCCATTACAGTAGTTAAAATCAGGCTTGCAAGATAACTCCCCATTGCTGATGAAGACATGGAAAGTCCCATTCCCAAGCTTTTCAATCCGTCTGGTATTTGTGATGTGAAAAAATCCATCTGAGCTACGTAAACAAATGCTTCGGAGACCCCCACGAGTACATATTGTGGCGTTTGCCAGAAAATACTCAAAGAACTAGTTTCTTTACCAGTAACACTTGCATACTTCAACCGTCTTTGCTCGACAAAGCCTGCAATTACAAGTGCTACTACTGTAATGGCTAGGCCGATCCCAATCCTTTGTAGCTCACTTGGTGGTTTTGGCTTTCGTTTTGTAATTCTGATGTAAAAAGGAACAAGGAGCCTGTCGTAAAGCATGATGAATAAGGTCGTGCTTACAATGTCGAAGGCGGTCATGCTGGCTGGAGGTATATGGAAGTTCGACACAACGAGGGTGTTCATGGCAGCTCCTTGTTCAACAAAAAGAGAGAGCATTTGAATGAACACAACAGAGGCGAAAATAGTGCACAACCAGACTGGAAGAAGCCTCAAAATGCATTTCACTTCCTCAACCTGACTGACAGTGCAAAGTTTCCATGGATTTGCTGTTTGCCCTTGGTTGCATATCAAGTTTATCTCCTCTTCTGTAAGAATGGCTGCTCTGTCCAAAAATCTGCATTATTCAAAAAAAAAAAAGAAAAAAAAAAGGAAAAGTGTTCATCTTCCAATAAGTTTCAGGTCAGCATCTTGATTATTGAGGCTTCAGTCATATTACAACTACCCCCATACATACATACATACATACAAACATACATATATATATATATATATATATATATATATATAGATATATAGATATAGATGTAGGTATATAGCTGTTCAATATCTTCACGGGTTAATAATAAAACTTTTTTAAAGTGTAATGTGTTTTTAGAAAATATAACTAAGAATAATTTTAGTAAAATCATTTTACTTAGATTACAATTACAAAAATGAAAAATTATGATAAAACACCTCAGTGTCTCAGAAAGTTATCACTTAAAGTTGACATTCATTTTTATCTAAAACATTTTTTAATTATATCACACGAAGAAAAAAAGAAAAAAAAAGAAAGAAAAAAGAAGACCTACTTACTTGAAGCCTTCAGTGTGAAGCATTCTCCTTGTACCCTTTTTCCCCCCTGGACCTTCATAAAGACCTTCTCCATTTGAGGGCATTTTTAGATTCATCTTTTTCATGGAAGCCATTATAACTTGAGAGAATCTTGATATAGGATTTCCAGAAGGTTTGGACTGTCTATATCTTGAAGTTCCACTCAATAACAACAGATAGGCAAGCAATCCACACACAGCACATATCCAAAACCCCACCATCCAATGCCCCAAGTTCTCTATATAAACCAAAACTGTCTCTGAAATCAAACACCCCATGTTTATTGACACATAGAAGTAGCTGTAAAACGAGGTCTTGGCTCGCTTTTCCTTAGGATCCTTGTCGTCAAACTGCTCTGCACCGAATGTAGCCAATGCAGGCTCAGGGGCTCCATTTCCTAAGGCGATTAGATAGATCGATATGTAAAATATCGTGAGTTCAGTTAAGCCATGAGGGTCACATAATTGACCTATTTTTCCACAACCACTGGGTTTGAGCAGAGATATATGAGTTAATAAGGAAAGTGCTACCAAACCCTGCAAAAAGAGAGTATGAAGTTAGTTCATGTAGCAAGAATATTGTTCTTTGTAAGGCTGCCACTTACTAAAAAGATGTAACCTCAATCTCACGTAATAAAGAATTTGTTTTTAGTTTTCTAAGCTAATTTATTGACTATTCCTTAGCTAATTTAAAAACTTACAAAATCCTTAATTGTCTATCGAAGTTCTCCGGCTCTAAGGTGAGCTAAGCCTACCCAACGAGTAGCAGGCGAGCCACGAGTGAAGTACAACAAGCAGGCCCTTGACAGCCCGCTTCAAAAATCCCTCAAGTTTCAAAAATTAAATAAGGAGAGGAGATTGTGAGGTAACTTATCTGCCAAACAACTTCTCAACTTGTTTTCTAGAGTTATTTGAATAAATTTTGAAGTAACTTACAGTCGGCTGATATCTACAATACGTCCTTGTTCTTGGAATTTGACCAAGAGTATTTCTAAAAATTGAAAGTAAATGTATGTGCATTTAGTCGTTATCAAATCGTCTTGCAACAGAGTAACAAGGGAAGAAGCTGACTTACAACAATGAAGACAAGTTGAAAAATTACACAAGTGAGATATCTTCCCAAGTATGAGTCGCTGAGAAATGCACCCAACAAAGAGAAGCAATAAGTGGTTCCCATCCATCTGCTGAATGTATTTGCTGCTTCAGCATTGGTTTGCCTCAGCACTGACTTTGAAAACAGAACCAAATTCACTTCAACTCCCGCAAATGCCAGTGTGATCAATCCTTGATTCACTGCAACAGTTACCAAACCAACTTCTAAGCATTTGGAGGGGAGATAAAAGTTGGAGCTTGTTCCATAACATCGTGTATGTTCTTAAAATTGGAAACTGGAAATGAGAATGTTTCCAAACAACTCAAAGCAGAATCAAAATCTTGTTTTTTCTTTAAACACATGGGACAAGGAGATCTCTGACCTCTTAGTTCAGGGCATACACGCAAACTAGTTGAGTTAAATTCAAGTTGACGTAACCAAAATGCTAATTTAATTTTCTTAGTTTATAATATGCTCCATATATTTTTCTGAAAATGGTAACAATAGAGAAAATCGAATGTTATTAAACTATCCCTTTTGGAAAATGAGAATGCCGAACTTGAAATGAAAATGGCGTTGAGATTCTCAGTTTTTTATAATACGACCACATAAACGAGTTTTGTTTACCTAGCAGCAGCATCCCACAATTCCACCCACCAACTTTTCTTCCTTTTGCTGTTGTTTTGTCATTTTGATCAGCCAAAGCAGCTTCTTCTGAGCCTGAACTCTGAAACCCTTCTTGGCCATTCTCCAACTGATGAAGATCTGCCACCTTTTGCAACATTTTCGATACTATTAAATTTTTATAAAAGTCCATTTCAATATCAAATGAAAGCTAAATAAAATATATATTAATAGCTATTGTTGATGCAGCATTAGAGATTAAAGTATATGTTTAATGGACTGTAGCAACTTTGACTTTTGATGAAGATAACAGTTCAAATGGTGTCATTCTAAGTTAAAAAATAAAAAGGGGAAAGCAAATCTATCTAGTATTGTAGTGTCCTAAAAGATAAGAAGTTGTTCTAAATCGATGGGCTATGATAAATTTAATTTTATCTCCATACTCCAATACTCCTCTCACTTGTGGATTTGAAAATTAGAACATGATCGAGGAAATGGTTGTCAATCCACAATAATTGAAGCGAAATGAGAGTATAAGTGTTTAAACAGAGTACTACTTGCTCTTTCGAACCCATAAGCTTAAGCGAATAAGTTGTAGTAAATTTAATCTTATATCAGTACTTTGTTGTATAAAGTGATGATCAAGTGGGCTTATGAAGGCATTTAGTCTCTGAAAACACATTTGGCTCTTATATCAATACTTAGGAAGGCATGATCAAGTGATGATCGAGTTGTAGTAAACTACTTTGTTACATTTGAATTTTTCACAATAGGGCCTAATCATTACAACAACCGCCAATCGTCGCCTAAACTTTCTGAGATAATAATCTAAAAATTTTTGAGATAATAGTTTAGTTCATGTTTGATAATCATTTAGTTTTTGTTCGAATAATTCTCTGAGAAAAGTGAAAACAGCACTAAATACCGTGATGAAGAATCAAACACGATTCTCAAAAACTGAAAATAAAAAATACAGGGGGCCTTAGTCTGGATGGGAACTAAATCATTACCCAAGTAAAAGAAAAGTATAGACTCAATGCGTTGTTCAAACAAAATAATAAAGAAACATGTTTATATCAATTTATCACGAACATTTTGTAATAGAAAAAACAAAAGATGGCTAATCAATCCACCAGCTCAAACAGTCAAAAGCAAACCCTATTGTGAATAAAAATGAACTTTTAGAGAAAGAGAAAGAGAGCACAAATGGACAATGATAGCATGAATTGACCGATGTGCGGCATTGGAGGCAAAATCATGAAAAGGGAAAATTGAAGTAAAGCCAAAGCAAAGCAAGAAAACCATGATGAGGCCACATTATTACCTGAAGTTGGTCATTGCCTGAAGAAACGGTCCCATTGAGCTCTGGTTTTGACTCCATCGCCCTAAGAAAATTGCTCCCACTCGCAAATGGTGAAAGAGGGAAAATGAGGCTTTGAAATCCGAGTGGAAAGGCAGGAAATCTAACGCTGAAACTGAAGATCGCCATGCATGGCAGATGCTTTGAATGAAACCAACCGGATTTGCGTTGAAGTTGACCACGGCAGCCATGGACGCTTGTCCTCACCACACTGCCATTCGGCCGCTTTTCCCCATACTACGGATTTGTTTTGTTCGTTAAGTTCAGACTAGAGAGTAAGCGCCAAAAAAACGGAGGGTGGATGCTTTATTATTATTATTATTATTAATTTAAACATTTATTTTTTTTTAATATTCAATAACTTAACCACTTCTATATTAATAATATAACCTTTTAAACTAATTGCACGATAATTAACTATACTAATTATAAATATTGGTTTTGATTCTTATTTTATGTTTTTTAATTAAATATTGATATTCAAATATTCAAAAGTGTTAATTTATTATTGCATGGCTAATTAATTTATAAATTAGTGTCTCAGTAAAAGATATTGGATTGCAGGGAAGGGCCCATGGGCCAAAGTTCATGGGCCTTCCTATCTTACAACAGAAGGCCCATGGGCCAAAGTCCATGGGCCTTCCTATCTTAAAGACAGAAATTTATATAATTTACATTTTCTAAATATAATAATTTAGTAGATTTTAGATATAAAATAAATCAATAAAAGTATATTTTCTATAATTTCAAAGAGTCAACAAGGTAGGTCCCATCTTTTCCCCACCAACTCCCTCCATTATTTTATATTTTTCCAAACTTTCATCTCTTCCCCACCCATCCCTCCAATATTTTATATTTTACATCTATTTTATTTCTGATTAATTTTGTTAAGCACTAATTTCAATTTTAAATCTTAATTACCAAAAGGTTATAATAGTCATTTTATCCGGTAAAGTCACGAGCTTACGAAATAAATATTTAACACCTTGTGTAATATTGGAAAAAGGTTAAATTATTTTGTTAAAATAAAATTTCAAATTTAAAAAATAACGATGATAAAAGAGTGGGCATATTTGATTTCCCCACCAAACTTCTTATATTTGATGCCAACAACCCATTTATTTTAATCAAAAGCATACTATAAAAAAAAAATTCAAATATATACAATTTCTAGGTGAGTCAAATTAGTTGGCTTCATTATCCTTTGTATTAAAATATTAGATATTGACATTTATTTAAATTTTACCAATAAAAAGAATTGGACGTTAAAATAAATATAATTCAATATTGACGGATATATCCTCAGTCTTTTGAAGTTGAAGGTTTAAGATTCTCACACACTTGTACTAAAAGAAAATTAAAAAAAATTTAAAATTATTTTATTTTTCATAAATATACATATAAGGCGTGTTGAATAAGTTTTAAATTACATCTATTAATATGGTATTTATCATATTAATATTTTATGGTATTTAAAAAAAATCAATTACAAATTTGATATTTATCGTTTTAGAAAGAAAAAATTTAATTCTTTGGTCTTAGTTTTAAATTATTCAATTTTAAATTAATTTCAATTATTTTGCATTGAACGTAGCCATTTTTATTTAGGTGATTGAGTTAATTGATTGCACTTGAGTTTATGATTGAATAAAAAAAAGAAAAAACGTATATTTTCAAAATAAATAAAAACAACTTATAAATTAAATAAAATACTTAACTGTTTCTAAAATTAAATAAACTTTTTTATATTTGAGAGTTATTGATAATTATTATTTATTAAATTGTTCAATCAAATAGCGATTTATATTATTGTTATAATAATATTTGAGAAAAAAATTTGATTTATGTAAAAATTGAAAAAGAAATTTATTTAACATACGTTTGGGATTCAAATAAGGTAGTTTGGTCATTGTCTTCAAAATAGGAAAAAATTGTACTTTTCCATAAAAATTAATTTTCTAATAACAATTGTTTATATTTGAAACCTTTTAAATAATAATTTTAAATTCCAAAATAAAATTCTTCATCTTCATATTCGGCTCCCAAAATTTAAACTGTTTATGAGCTGGATTTCATTTTTTAAATAAAAATTAAAAAAATATATATAATATATATTAAAAAAAATCATTTTTTTATTCATTAAAATTTGTTTAATCTGAATTTACTTGGACTTTAACTGTTCAGATCAACACTTAATTAAAGAATAGCATTAAAAATCCTAAAGTAGCTATGATTTTATAACACATTAATCTTTAAAATAATTATTTAAAAACATATGAAAATTAATAAATGTCAACAGCCGTGGGTATACTATTTTTATCCTTGTTCTAAATTATATTTTTTTAATTAAAATGTTCAGCGGAGAAATCAATGATTTCGGCCAAAAACAAAATAAAGTGTTTTTTTTTTTTAAATAAAAAACATTATACCGATACAAAGTAGAAATAAATATTTGGCTGCTAATTTTTTATGGAACCCCGGCGGCGGCTAAAGCAATAATCCATTAATTAAATATTAAATGAAAAATATTTCGATTTTTTAATATAGTCTTTCTCTCACATGTCGGACGTGACAGAGAAATTTAGATGGAATTGAGGCGAGAAATATAACTTCAGTCTCTAACTCTGCTTAGTTAACAAGAATAAATTTCTCTTTACTCTCTCCTATTTCCGCTCAAAATCGTGTAATTTAAACAAATATTTTTTTTACGGGGTTGATAATACACTAATTATTATTTAAAAATTTGATTATTCAATTCATGGTTAACTATAAAATAATAAAAATAAAGTTAGCATAAGGTTTTAAAATAGAAAAATTAGTTAAATATACACTCTAATATTTCACAATATTGCAAATTTAATGAATATTTTTTACTAATCTTATTAAATATATAAAAAAAAAACACAATTATTTTTTGTGAAGGAAAAAATGATTGGTTTATTTACATTCATTTTGTTTGTAAAGTATAATTAATAGAAAGAAAGTTTCATATCAAATCCCTGTATTTGTTTTTCTTTTCCATAATATAATAGATTAATAAATTGAGATGTAGTGGATTTCTAGCTGACAATCAACGGCTGAGATTGTATGTTTATAGAATAATCCAACGGCGAATCTCTCACCTTCGTTCACCTGTCGTCATCTACGAGGAAGTTCAACAACCAAAGTTCAAAATTCTTCGTCGAAATTAAAAACCCGGAGGCCATTTCTCAGCAAATCAGTACCAAAACCACCATTTGCGTTTCGAATTCTTCAACCTTCTTCAGCTATGGCTTCCACTTCCTCTGCGGCCCTTTCGCAAGCGCTATTGCCCCGAGCCACCTCTCACCATGATTCAAATCCATCCGCCGACCGCGTTTCTCTTTCCTCTCGCTCTCTTCCCAGTTTCTCCGGCCTCAAATCCACCAGCTCCGCCGCCATCGCTGCATCATCTCGCCGGATCAGGCCATGCCGGTCCCTCCGTGGAGTGGTTCGAGCTTCGGTTGCTGAGACGGTCAATAAGACCACTGAGACGTCGTTGATCGAGAAGTCCGTCAATACGATCCGTTTCCTCTCGATCGATGCTGTGGAGAAGGCGAATTCCGGCCACCCGGGCTTGCCGATGGGTTGCGCTCCGATGGGCCATGTTTTGTACGATGAGGTTATGAAGTATAATCCCAAGAACCCTTACTGGTTCAATCGGGATCGGTTCGTCTTGTCGGCTGGCCATGGATGTATGCTGCACTATGCTTTGCTTCACCTTGCTGGGTATGATAGTGTTAAGGTAAGCTTTGTCTGAGTTTGTCCTCCTCTCGTTCTGTTGCTTTGTTTGGGTTTGATCTGTTTTTTCTTTTTTGGCTTTGTTCGACTCCTATGATTTCGGATTTCAACTGGATCTCGGTTTGTTCTGATTTTTACTACTTATGAATGGCGTCTTATTTGGTCATGGTATTGAAATGTTTGTCTTATCTTTCCTTTTCCTCATTTGTGTAATCTAAACGTGTTACTTTTCTTTTAGAAGTTTGTTGGCTATGGAATTATATGGCCCAAGATATCGACCCGTGACTTTTCTTTCGTTAAGATTATACCATCAAGTTAGGTTGAGGTTGGGTTTAGTGTTGGTTAAGCTTGGTTGCATAGTACTAAAGGCGTATGTTTAAATTCTGGATTGAAATTTACTGCTCAACTAAACTTAATGATTTGCTTGTTAGATTTCATAACAAAAATTACTTATTGAATGGGTTTTAAGAACATAATTTGATTTGAACTCTGTACTAATCCATTTTTTTCTGTAAAGGGACAATTTATATCCACTGTGACTGATGAATTTAGATTTGTTAATGATTAGGAAGAAGACTTAAAGAGTTTCCGTCAATGGGGAAGCAGAACTCCTGGACACCCTGAGAACTTCGAGACGCCCGGAATTGAAGTAACAACTGGTTAGATTCTTGTATCGAAGTTAAAGTACATAGGGTTTGGACACTGTTGTTGCTTTTTTTTTTATTGTTAATTGTTTTGTTTTGTGAAGGTCCTCTTGGACAGGGTGTTGCAAATGCCGTTGGTTTGGCACTTGCTGAGAAGCATTTAGCTGCTCGTTTCAACAAGCCCGATAATGAAATTGTTGACCATTACACGTATGATATCTGACGCTAATCAGTAAACTTCTTCGATCCATTATAAAGAACACTTTGTGATGCTGTATTATTCTTTTTTACTCATTTTATTCAATTGGCAGATATGTTGTACTGGGAGATGGTTGCCAAATGGAGGGAATAGCCAATGAAGCTTGTTCGCTTGCTGGGCACTGGGGACTAGGCAAGCTGATTGCTTTCTATGATGACAACCACATCTCAATTGATGGCGACACGGAGATTGCATTCACTGAGAGTGTTGACAAACGATTTGAGGGTCTAGGGTGGCATGTTATCTGGGTGAAAAATGGAAATAATGGCTACGACGAGATTCGTGCTGCCATTAGGGAAGCGAAAGCTGTAAAAGACAAACCCACTTTGATCAAGGTTTGCAATCCCTTCAGAACTTTTGATGCACAGAGCTCTTGTTTTCCTGCATACCTCTGTAATATTGCTCGTAGTTCAAATTATGTGAAAGTAAAATTTAAGCTGTTATATCATAGTCTAGTATCGGGGAGTTTATGGGAAAGTTAAATCTTAATATTTACGGACGTGAATCTGAACTAGCTTTGCCGAGTTGTGATGAATTTCTACGAAATTGGGTGTGCTGAATTTACCTTTAAAAATGTTGTAGGTGACCACA